CTTTCTATATACCTTAAATTTATAGTTTTGGCCATTTTTCATGATAAGCATATCAAGAAATGGAAGGGATTCACTTATTTCTCTTTCAATTTTGAATGTGATACTAGGGACAATATTATTAAGCTTGTCTAAAAATTCCAAAGGGTCACTGTTTTTAGGCCAAAGACAAAGAACATCATCTACATATCTATACCAAGGAGGAATACAGTCCACTACATTGGGGAGTAATTTAGACTCAAAGAACTCCATATAAATACAGGCTAGAGGAGCAGAAAGACAATTACCCATGCTCATGCCAAATACTTGCTTGTAGAACTTCCCATTTGCACTAAACACATTGTCAGTTACGCATAACTCTATCAATTTCAGGAAAGTATCATGTTCAATAGTTAAATCTAGCAGTTGTAATTTATCTTTAAGAAATGAAAGTAAGTCTTTCACAGGTACTCTAGTGAACAGTGAATTTACATCAAAACTTATTAATTCGCAAGGTTCGTTGTGTTTCTTGAGTTTATCAATTAAATCACTGCTATTGCGTATATGTGAATTAGATATTTGGCCTGTAAGAGGGGATATCAATTTTACCAGCCACTTGGATAATTTGTAAGTAACAGAACCCACAGAACTCACGATAGGACGTAATGGATTATTAAGCTTGTGTGTTTTGATCAATCCATACATATAAGGTAAAGTGGGATTGATTTGAGAGAGCTGTTTAATGAGATCGGGGTTCTTTTTCAATAACATCTTCATTTTGGAATTAGATAACTTATTAATATTTTCCAGGGGATCTTTCGTAAGCTCACAATACGTGCTTTCATCACTAAGTAATGAATTCATCTTATCATTGTAGTCACTTTTATCCAAGATAACAATAGCATTAGACTTATCAGCCTTGGTAATATGGATATTCTTATTTCTTTTCAAGTTTATCAAGGCTGTTTCAAATCTTTTTGGAATGTTTGAAGAAAATTTCTTATTTAAAACACTATGTATACAACCTTTAGCTGTGGAAATATCTTCATTTGTAACATCAGACGACTTCATCTTTTCCAGGTTGATTAAACCTTTAGCAATAGTAAGCGGATTAACGCACCGTTGAGTGATAGAAAACTTCCTACCAAAACCAAGAACAAGTTTCTCATTTGTCTGTAGATCATAAGATGATAAGTTTATGAACAAATTTGGATCACTCAATATGGTCCAGTAACTCTCGTCAAACAGAGCATTTAATTTGGCATTTAACCTTCTTTTTTGGGCTTTGTCAGTTTCACTAAGAAGTTGATATACAAAATCACGAATGGTGTGCCACTTATCAACACAAACACTGTTTTGCATAAGTATTTTACACTGAGCACTGTGCTTGAAGGCTAATTTCACACTATCACTTGAACTCTTGATAAGGGAATCTAGCAACACCTTATCCAACTCAGAGAATGCTTGATTGTCCAGATTTCTTAGTCTACTTGGAAGACAGGACTTGGGAACAATTTTATCATCTCTGCAATCTTTCAAAAACTTCAACTTTTTTCTGACCTGACCTGTCTAGTCACGTCACCACCCTTCTCTTAAGCTCCTCTACGGTTGTGTTGGTGTGGGGATTAGTGGATGTCATCATTATGACCTGACCTCATGTTTTTAGGTCACCCTGTATATTTAAGCCTCTCTCTGTCCATGTAATCTAGTTGCCTCTGAAGATGTCTTGAATAAAGACGAAAGCTAAGGTACTCCGTTGTTTCCATTTTCCCGTGTGATTTTATCAAGATATATATATATATATATATATATATATATATATATATATATATATATGTGTGTGGCAATGACATTATTGGTAACATAAGGAACTTCAACTTTTTTCTGACCTGACCTGTCTAGTCACGTCACCACCCTTCTCTTAAGCTCCTCTACGGTTGTGTTGGTGTGGGGATTAGTGGATGTCATCATTATGACCTGACCTCATGTTTTTAGGTCACCCTATATTTAAGCCTCTGTCCCATGTAATCTAGTTGCCTCTGAAGATGTCTTGAATAAAGACGAGCTAAGGCTCCGTTGTTTCCTGTGTGATTTATATATATATATATATATATATATATATGTGTGTGTGTGTGTGTGTGTATGTGTGTGTGTGTGTGTGTGTGTGCCATAAGGAGGTGTTGTCTTGTGGCTGATGAGGACAAATGGTCACGTCAGGACACTGGGTTATGACGCCATATATTTAACCCTGGTGTATCTCTCCCTATCTCTTACTTCACTTTTTATTCTATTTCTGTTTCGCTCTACTGTATTTATTTCCTTGTCATTTTCATTGTCTCTCTCTCTCTTAACATCTGTCGGTTTTCATCTCTACCCTTTCCTCTGTTTCATCAGTTTTCCTTATTAAACATTCTTATATCCAAATCTATGTCCCTAAAACACTTACGATGGACCACTCAAGTAACTCAAAAATTTTCATAAAATCAACTTAATCATTTTATTTATCAATTCCAGATATATTTTGCCATAAAGTCACTTGACTTGCTGACGCCAGACAATAATAAATAAGAGATGCGCGTTTGTATTAATATTTCTGTGTGAGTGTGTGCGTGTGCATTTGTCCGTGTGTTCCCTCTATTGAATGAGTGTGTCAACGCAATTGTGTGAGTTATCGCGCGCGTGTGTGTATGTATGTGTATAGGAAAACAAGTGTAGGGAGAGAGGGAGGGAGGAGAATCAACTGCCACGTGGGGTCTGCTTGGATTCCGGATAATCGTATTAGATCCTCCCATTACTGGACTTATCGGTCCGACGCAGAACTTGAACCTATCGTCGTCGTCATCATCATCATCATCATCATCATCATCATCATCATCATCATTATTATTATTATTATTAATTTGTATTATCTGTTATCATAATGCTTTTTCTCATTATTGAAAATTTCTTCTATGTATGGGATTGTGTATTAACCAAAAATAGCAGACAGATGGGTTGATAAAACATATAATGCAATCTCTTCTACTCCACTGTATCTTACCCATTGTGTATTGATATCAAATTTTAATCCTATTGTAACTATAGTTATTGAACACTTCTTTTGTCTCTAATCCTATTGTATCTATACTTATTGAACACTTCTGTTGTCTCCAATCCTATTGTATCTATACTTATTGAACACTTCTTTTGTCTCTAATCCTTTTGTATCTATACTTATTGAACACTTCTGTTGTCTCCAATCCTATTGTATCTATACTTAATGAACACTTCTTTTGTCTCTACCATCTCCGTCAACTCTTACATAGTATCTACCAGCATCAACCCTTCCTTCCTGGTACAATCGTCTCTGCTTTTTTTTCTTTGTCTCCTAGAATACTTATCAGTTTCCCGAAGATTAGCCTTTTTCTTCCTCTTGCTAATATCCATACCGACATTTCTTTTGGTCAATCTTGTCATCTTGCTGGCCTTCTTACTCAACATCTAACGCTCTTCCTACATTATCATTAGGCAAGATTTTTGTTTGTTTTCGGAACTTCCTTCTTTTGCTCAGCAGTTGCAATGTTATTGTATTATATCATAACTAACAACACATACTAGAATTAAATTAATTTTCCTGTAATTCTGTTTCCCCCAAAAACATAGATATATTTACTTTCCCCAAATATGTGATTGAAGTTAAATTCTTGAAAGTTGAATGTTCAATCTCTGGGGAGAATTGTTTGAACCGTCTTCTCTTTTATTATGAAATGCTGTGTGTGTGTACGTGTGTGTGTATGTGTGTGTGTGTGTGAGAGTGCTTGCCTGCCCCTGGTTCAGCCACACCTCCACCATCCCTCCAGCTTAACGGTACTACCCTGTCTAATGTCACCCACTTTCAGTATATCGGTTCCCACCTGTCCACCACCGCGGAAATTGATGAAGAAATTCAGCATCGGACCAGATGTGCATCTCAAGCCTTTGGCAGACTCCGAAACCGTGTCTTCAGCTGTAGGGATCTGAAATTATCTACAAAGTTTCACGTATATCGAGCAGTGGTCCTCCCCACCCTGCTATATGGCAGCAAGACATGAGTCACATACAGGAGGCACATCAAAGCACTTTAAAACTTTTACCAACGTAGTCTACGTTCCATCCTCCGAGTTCGCTGGGAAGACAAGAGAACACATGCCAGTATTCTTGTTGACACCAACTGTAGGAGCAACGAGGCTATCATTATCCATGAACAACTACGCTGGACTGGCCATGTTACCCGCATGGACGACAGTTAGACTGCCAAAGCAGCTACTTTACAGTCACCTAACGAATAGCAAACGTAACGCCAGTGGGCAACTGAAAAGGTATAAGGATAGTCTTAAGACAAACCTGAAAAAGTGCCAAACCGACCCCTCACCTGGGAGACGATTACTCCACACCGTAACGCTTGGAGGAGAACCACACAAGAAGGTGTTAACACATTCGAGTTAGCCCGACTGCATAACGAGGCAGACAAGCGCCAACGCCGGAAAGACGCTGTAGCCTCACTTCCCACACTAGATGTAGCCCCCCACATGTGCAACATCTGTGATCGACCCTACCGGTCCCGTATTGGCCTCCTAAGTCACCTCAGAACTCACCAACCTAGGTGACATCCTTAGTAACTCATATAATTTTATCATAGCTGGATGATCGTCATACTCGATTTCGAGTGACAGCAAAGTAGTAGTAGTTGTAGTCATGTAGTGTGTGTGTGTGTGTGTGTGTGTGTGTGTGTGTGTGACACCATGTGCTATCTTAATGAGAAGTTTGTAAATAAAATTCATCCGCCTGTTATTATATTTATAAAATAATATCGTTTAACAATTCCACCGAAATTGTACGTCACTGGTGCATGTAGATGGTTAATGTGATGAGCCACAATGGGATCTCTAACAAGAGTTTTGGTTGACTATGGTTCACTAATAGGTCACAGACAGAATACATGTTATTTTCACACGACATTTGTTATTAAACTGTTAAACTAACATATTTCACGTTGTTTCCCCCCTGCAGGTGGGTACTCCCTTGAGCGTGCCCCCTCTCGCCTCTCTGACTACGGCGACATCTCTTCCTCATCTTCTTCCCCACTCGACTCCCCCCTCTCACAAATACTCTACAGCTTCGGATGATTGTCGGCCCACGCTCACACCTATGCCCACGCCCATATCCACCAACAGCAGCAGCCGGGGCAGGCAGGAGCGGGGGCACTGGATGACGAAAGCTCAACAGCAGATCACCACCACCAGCAACCATCCCGAGTACCGGAGTCTCATCGCTTCTCCCTCACACCCTCTTCCTCCTCTGAGGCTGCCATCTTGGGAATGGGCGTCGGCTTTGGAATGGGAATCTTCAGAGGAGATGGTGGGGGAGGATTTCAGGATTTGTACGAGAGTCCTATTTCGCGAGGCCCCCTGGCAGGAACGGGGGAGGGGGAGGTGTTCACCAAGCAGGGACAGGAGGACTTAGACGCGGGGGCCTCGTGAGAACTCTACTACCACCTCCCTCACCCTGCCTCTGGTCCTACTCAAAGAAGTTGCCCTCTAAATACCGACAGTATTAAAAAACGCTTGAATTCTGTCCGAGATTTGGTCAGTCTTAAGGATCTGCCCTGTAACTATCGTCAGCAGTCGACCTTTAAGTTTCGAACTCTTACCTAAGAAAAAAATGCTCTGAAAGTGCGTCGAGTGTCTGTTTAAATTTTAGAAACTACCCTTTGAATATCGCCAGTGAATTTAAGCGTTTGAACTGTCTTAAAAACAAAGACAGGACCTATGAAACAAACATGCACTGAAACATACCTCTAGCGTGATTCATGACCTTCTTGAGGAACAGGTATACAGAACTACACACACTAAATGCCAAGTGACTGATACATAAAAGGCAATTTTACTTAATACTCCCAGTGCAAATAAACTTACAAAAGTGATTGCCTACGATTGTACTCTGAGTGACTGTAAAGGCAAATCAGCCTCTATCTACTTAATAAAACCTCCCAGAAAACACTTATAAAAGTGACAAGCAAAAAATATCTAGAAACGGGAAGGACCCCCCAATGAACTCGTTAGTCTTATATTATATATGACTATGTTAGGTACCACTTGCTTGCTTTTCTCAACAAAGCTCAGAACAAATGCTTAAAAGGGTTGACTATCCCTCTGAGTTATATCTACATCAGTGACAATAACTGGTTAGTGAATCCACAACAAAAGAGCTTAAGTGATAGTCAGTAGTTGAATGAAAATTATACCAGATACTTTATAACTGCGCTCACTTTGTAGACTCTTGTGTACAGTAGTTTGTAGTTAATGAATAATCTTTAATTAGTGTTTTAAGTCTATAAGCTGTTAAGTGAACAATCTGTTGATATACGAAGAATTTTGTTTACAGAATAATTTGATGATATAAATTTATCTACAAAAATATAATTCATCTCTCTCTCTCTCTCTCTCTCTCTCTCTCTCTCTCTCTCTCTCTCTCTTGCGCGCGCCATCTACAGGTTGATAAAACAGTTGTAGTGCACTGAGGGAAGCTACCCATTTGATTGTGGCTAACATTACATAGCAAGAGCCGAGACGAGTGCTCAGCAACATGCTACGTCATTTACAGAAATGACATGAAGATGATGGCAAACGTTTTCAACCATTAACAGAAGCTGAACATTGCCGGTATATATATATATATATATATATATATATATATATATATATATATATATATATATATATATATATATATATATATATATATATATATATATATATATATATATATATATATATATATATATAGTAATTAAATAAAACTATAGAAATAACCGCAGCTTTCTTACCAACCTGTTTCTCTAATAATCATTATTTGTCTCCTGGTGTTTTCCGTTTTATTATTTATATTATCTGTCCCTGTATATATTGATTAGTAATTCTGGCTGTCTGTATGTCTTTCTGTCTACCTTTCTCTATCTTTATCTCCATCTGTCGATGATTCTCCTGTTGTCTCTCTATCCATTCCTGTCATCTGTCCGTCTCTCCTTCCATCTGTCTCTTAGTAAATTCAAAACAAAACATATATTTTCCTTTCTTTCCGTCTCACCTTTCCACTTAATTCTTTCTTACTAAATTAAAGACAAAATATACGTCTCACACCTACAGTTTCCACCATCAACAACAACTACCATTGGCCAAACTCTCAGACACACAAATGTACAACCGCTGAGTCCGCCTCTCCTTCTATCCTTGAAAAAATCGAACAGATATCTTTGAATCGCAAATTTTTCCTTCGCGGATTTGCATACATAATCATTGACTTCTCGGAGATGGATTGCGGAACGGAGCCGAGAACGTGAGCTGGTGGAGAAGTCGGGTACGTTCTGGGAATGGCATTAGTTTCATCATGTTCTGGATTTCCCGCCATTAATCAGCAAAGCGGGAGAAGGAAAGAGATAGAGAGAGAGATGGAGATTATTTTTGCACGGAATGATTTGACATACTTTTTTCCTAACTATTTCTCAACATGGTATTAATTTTTCGTAATATTAAACAGCGGTCATCATAATTGACCATAAACTGAGTTAAAAGTTGTATTTTCTCGTATAAACACAGTCCCCACGCGTGAAGAAGACCCACCAGTCCAAGCCAGGAAAGCCGCGTACTGAGTTAAAGACACGTAGCCAAATACATAAAAAAAATTCACATTCTCGTCCAGTGAAAGAAGGAGAGAGGATATTGTAATCGTACAGTACGTGTGTGATTTATTGAGTAACGCAACCAATCAACTCCTCGGATACACCAAGCATCACCTCTCTCGTTTTTCACTTTAAACTGTGCTTCACTTTGTTCCCGGCAAAGAAATATTTACATATTTACATACAAACGAAAATTTACTCTTTTGTGATACTCTAATGTGCTTGACTTACTCTGCTGCAATGTCAAGGGAGGGCATTGCTGAACACACTTTGTAAATATTGTATACATGTTTGATCTAGAGTGTTAATTACGTTAAATATATATATTATTATGGTAAGTAATAGTCACGGGGTAGATATTTCTAACTTACAGCAGGCCGGGGGAGACAGGACATAGAGTGCAATTAATCAACTTTGTATCGGTATATTTGTTGTTATAAGTTGTTTTCTCCTTATGCAGTGCATTCCGTGTTTTCCTGTTAGCAGACTTATCGCTTTTTATAATCTTTAAGTGGCTTTCCCCAATGAATAGTTTGTTCACTGTTAAGTAATGTTTGTTAATTATTTTCAATTCATTTACTTAACAGGTCACAGTGTCCATCCAGTTTAAAGTTATTTCGAATTAAATCTTATGTTTTACGTCTGTGTAATAGTTCTTACTGTTGGTGTATCGACTGTAAGGTGACTCCGTGTGCATTTGGTCATCTCGCAACATAATGATAAATCGCTTAGGCATTTGGTCATCTTGCAACATAAAGATGGCCTATTGCGCATAAGGTTTTATTGCAACATGGTGATGAGTCTCTATGTAGCAGTAACCTAAGAGGTCACAATGCAACGTGACAATGTCCTACGAGCGGCTGTAACACCTCCCCCACACTTGGATAAGCTTAAATATACACCTGTTCTAACACACCTGTAGCTAGAACTACAACAAATGTGCCAAAAAATCATTAGGAGTGTAATAAAGTTGATGAATATATATGTTGTTTTATTATATTGCAACATGAATCAAACCTAGTGTCTTCCTCTCTTCTCATCAAACCTTTCAAACAGTCTGCTTCATATTCCTTCAGTCCATGACAAAGGAATGCGCCAGTACACGATTTAACAGCAATACTTGACGGATCTCTGCACATTTCATTTATTAAGAAAATAATAATGAAAAATAATAATGAAAAATAATAATGCCTTCGCTTCTTGACTACTATACATTTCCTCTCAGTAATCGATATCCAATGTCAATCAAACAAAGAGTACAGTCATCATATCTGAGAGTTGGCAACCACAGTCCTCTACTCTAAACGTTCTCAGGCTGTTTTTACCAAACCTCCAAGGTTTTGTATCTCTCTGGGAACCCAGTTTTTAATTTCATTCATCCAGTCCAGTCTCTGCCTTACCTTGGCCCTCCTACCCTCAACTTTGCCCATTAATATTTCTGTTATTATTCCCTCATCCCTAATTATATGAACAAAATATCTTTTTTTTCTGTACATTTCAAATATTTGTCTTCAATTTTTTTGCTAATAAAACACAACATTCATTATTCTCTTTCGTACGAGATAATGAATATCAGGGCCCGGAACAATAATCTAACAAGCTATTAAACGTATACTGTACACAACTTTGAGAATCCACACCATGAACGATAAACTGAGGGGTACCCGTAGGTGTTGAAGCTGAGGCTGACGAAGGGGGAGTGAGTGACAGCTGCGAAAGAAGGGCGACGACAGCACCACAAGTGACACGTTCCCTCAACTAATCTCATTACCCCACTACTAACAATGTCCGCCAGAGGGCCAACACCCACCCCACCACGCTGATGGATGTAAGCAAATAATAAACACTAAGTGGATTACATCTTATATACAGGAAACACACCAGGGTAAAAATGTAAGGCACTGGTCGAGTAAAGCATGGGGTGGTGAAGGAAAGTGTGGTGTGGCGGAAGGGTGGTTTGTGAAGGAAGAAGGTGAAGGATTATGAAGGGTGTAAAAGGTGAGGATGAAAATGGTATAAAAGTGTAAGGGGAAGGAAGAATGCTTTGTGGTGTGGCTTGTGTGTGAGGGTGTGAGGGGGTGATGTGAGAGGGAGGGATATCGATGAAGCAGCACTGTTTTTTACTGTGACAGCTGCAGTAGTGTTAAATTAACAATATATAACACGACAATCCCATAAAATCATGGATTAATTTGAAATATTTATTATTGTTTCGTTTATTCTATATTATACATGTCGTGGTTCTCCTCTATATACACGACCAAAATAAATAATCAGATCTTTGTCCAATAGATTGAATTTGCAGCCTCCGGAGATTAATGCCGTGTCTTGCATCAGTGATAGACCAAGGACTGTTTCTCCAGCCTGCTGCCCTCGTCTTCTGGTAATTGCTTAACGGATCAAGTTTTTCATGATTATGTACGATACATCGATTACCCACAGTCGTGTACAGTGCATCACTTCAGCAATTCTGGATTTCTTAATCATATAACCGCCAAACAATTAAATTTTTTTTTGCGGGGGATATTCTACAAATTTGGCGGATGGAAATCAATAACATGAAATAGACCTTGAAGTAAATGCCTCTTTTTATGAAGTGATTCACTATACCATCACCCACTTACTGTACCACCCTTCACCAACGACAGAGCAGGAGCAGAGCGGGATTAAGTAACATATCCTTAAGACCTAGGTGATTTTGCATCTCAGTGAGTTTCATTCACATCTGTCTAACAACTCCCTCAACACTAAGTGAAACTAGGGTCATGATTTATATCCACCTGCAATGGAGTGCGAGTCTGCTTACAGTTTATTTCTTCTTTTTTACACACTACCCTGTTTGTTGGCCCTCTCTCTCCTCCCTATTTTTCTCTTTCTCTCCCTCTGCCTTTGATTCTCTTTTTGACTCTTCTTCTGTTTACTAACTTTCTCCCTTTCCCTCTCCCTACACATTTTTATACCCTATGTCTTGTTGATCAGGTCTCTCCTCTCCCTCTCTCTCCCTCTCCTCCCCTCTCCCCATTCCCTCTACGCCTCTCTACTGTATTTATCCGTTCTGTCTCTATCCCTCTCCCCCTCCACTATTTACACTAACACTTGCTAGTACCTTCATCTTCCTACTTCTACTCAGTGATAGCTGGGAACCACTGTTGGTTTGTCCTCCCCTCCCTTCATACCCCTTCATCCCTCCTCCCTTCACCCCTCCTCTCACTCCCTTCATCCCCCCTTCCTAACATGCCCTCCCTCCCTCCACCCCCTTCTCTTTCCTCCTCACATTCCTTCCTTTTCCTCCTCCCACTCCCTTCCTTACCTTCATGCCAATTCTCTATCCCTCACGTCCTTCCCTTCTACATTCTTTCATTCTTCTCCTCTCTCCTCCATCTACCACTACCACCTCTCCCCTCTCTTATCTCCCCCATCTACCACTATCTCCTCTCTTATCTCCCCCATCTACCATTATCTCCCAATCTTATCTCCCCCATCTACCACTATTTCCCTCTCTTATCTCCCCATCTACCATTATCTCCCCATCTTCCCCATCTACTATTTCCTCTCTTATCTCCCCCATCTACCACTATCTCTCTCTTATCTCCCCCACTATCACTATCTCCCTCTCTATCTCCCCCCAGCTACCACTATCTCCCTCTTATCTCCCCAGCTACCTCTCCTCTCTTATCCCTCTCTTATCTCCCCAGCTACCACTATCTCCTCTCTTATCTCCACCATCTACCACTATCTCCTCTCTTATCTCCCCCATCTACCCACTATCTCCTCTCTTATCTCCCCCATCTACCACTATCTCCCTCTCTTATCTCCTCCATCACCATATCTCCTCTCTTATCTCCACCATCTACCACTATCTCCCTCTCTTATCTCCCCCATCTCTACCACTATCTCCCTCTCTTATCTCCCCAGCTACTACTATCTCCTCTCTTATCTCTCCATCTACTATCTCCTCTCTTCCCATCTCACACTATCT